GATTAAGCAAGAGAGGCAAAGTGTCTTGCCGACATTGTCCTATTTTTCCAAGTGTTTGTATCTTCATGTCTCTGGGGTATTTGTTCTTAAAGTCTGTTTGCTTCTTTAATGTCATAACTATAACTATTTTAATTTGGATATCAAAATGATTCTATTAATTACGTTCTTGATTGGCGTCTTTTGGGACAGTTCTGGTTAATTTAAAGTCAGGAGAGCTCTTCCAATGCAAAAGCTACCTATTCACATGCCTGTTGAAATCATCAGGATTCAGTATTATATGTCCCTAGATGAATTCTGTTCTCATTTTGTTTTCTGTGGTATCTGGAAGCCACCTTCTAGTACCTATGGAAACTAAACAAGAAAACTCAGGTCAGAACATGTAGAAATAAAGGAGATTTCCGAATCCCCGTCTTTCCATTTTTACTTTGCACATCTTGGTGGCATGACTTACCTGCAGTATTTCACAGTTGTCGGCTGAGAATCTCCTGACCTTTGGGGGTATGGTGTGGTCCTCCCAAATTCACAGATGGAATACAAAGAAACTTATGCCTAAGACTTCAGAAAGTTTGTGGATGGATGGAAGTTTGTGGAAGTGAGGGCCTGGCCTTCTCTCCGCTATCTTCTTCCACTGAAGAAGCTAGTAATTCATATATAGAGATGGTAATTCAGACCCTGCAGCAGAGCCAGTCCTCTGGCCTGGGTTAGGTGTAGATCAGAGAGCAGATCTATCCCGTGATGTGGGATTGTTAAATGTCAGGGTTGCTTTGATCCTATTGGATTCTCTTAGCTCATTAAGATGATTAATGGATTAATTAGGTTACCTTGATTGTCATCTTTGTCACTCTGACATACGATACGTTGCAGATTGTGAACACAGCTAATAATCAGAAAAGCTTGAAGGTTTGTGTTTCTCTAAATGTGGTGTTTGTTTCCCAGCTGTGCTAGCTAATCTCATAACAGATACCTTCTTCTACGAGCTTTGTCTTTATTTCTTTAAAATGCAATAGAGCATATGACCGAAAGGGACCTTGATGAGTGAGTTCAGCTCTCTGCTGAACTGTAGAATATGCATTTAGAAAATACCTTGCTGTCACTCTTAAATCGTAAGTTGTCTGAGTGTAATATTCCTATTGACTGTTCTCAGAAACATGTATCTGACTTCTGCCGAAAGCGTATTCGTGGCTTATTTGTTCCTATCGCGCTTAAATTGACATTGCCTTTTAGTTTTACTGACTCCTGATGTCTACCCCATTACTCCCAGTACATGAGACCAATCAACCAGTTTGTTGGGCGTGAAATATCCTGGGCTCTGCTTATTTCACAGCCAGTTAATATTGATGACTTAGAGTTCTTTTTGGATCAACTACCAGACCCAAGCTTTTCCTCCCATCGCTGTTTCGAACTGATGAACTCCCCAAGTGTCCTGTTCATTACTGGTTTCAATTTTTTCTGACACTCTGCACGACAAGATTTGTGCAGCTCTTCCTGTATGGCGTTATAATCCTCTTTTGTGCATAGACGTGCTTCCCAGTTTTGTGTCATCTACAGATGGCTTTGGGAGACTCCCAGATTTCTGCAGGAAGAGCATTAATAGGAATATGTGCTGAACTGAGCTCTAAGGTAAATCTAGTAAGAAGTCTGATAGCACTTTTCTGGCATTTTGATCACTTTAAAACTTTTTTTTTTTTTAACTCACTATAAAAACTTCTCTCCAGTTCTCCTGAAAATTTTCCATGTGGCACAGTACAAGATACCCTACCGAAGTACAGACAGAGTACTCCATTCCTTTTCTCGTGAAACTCAGATCTTTTTGTCCAGGAAAAGATGGATTTTTAACTCTCAACTTAATCAGGAATGAAACATCTTTAGTAATTCCATGCTGGAAAGGGGTGGAAAATTCAACTGTCTCTGCACGTTTAAAATTTGTTCAACAGTTTTGCATACTGTTGAGATCAAACTGGTGGGATAATTTTTTTTTTTTTCATTCGCTCTTAAATATAGTTGCTAACTTGTTATTCTCCTGTCAAAATGTCAATTACTCTGACAGGGGTTTTATAAGAAATCTTCACAGGTTCATGTGTAATTTTGTATGCTTGTTCTGGGATGGAGATTACCTGCTTGCTCTGATTTAAGCGCATTAAGTTATTTGAGTTTTGTTTCTGTCTTCAGGTGATACAGTCTCTTCCCATAAACTGGCTAATCTGTCCATGGGCAGCCAGCTCCTCTTCATTCAAAGCTGAGTCAGAGCATTAATTTCATTTTTAAAAGAAAATTATCTTACATTTCTATCTTATTGTATGGTGATCCTGCTGCTTTCCCCCCTGTTCTATTCTTATTCATATGATTGAAAAATCTTTTGGTGTAGCTTACAATATTCTTTGTATGGTCTAACTCAAATTGCTGGGTTTTCCTTACATTTTTTGATTTCTCTTACATCTTTCTTTACTAGCTCTTCCTCTTGACCTTTTTTCATTCTTTGTAGATTATCAAACTATTTCTAACATCTTTTTGGAAGTGCTTGCTAGGAAAAAGTGTGGGACTTGACAATTTTTTCTCCCCTTGAAATAGAAAATCCTGATTGCTTTAACACCTTGCACTTGAAGAATTTCCAGGCCCCTTCCACATTCGAATTCCTGGTCTCCTCAGTCACAGGTTTTTCAGCTAAATTTCCTAGTTTATCCAAGTTCACACTTCTTAAATAACTTGCAAACACTTATAACAGAATTTATCTTTAATTTAAACTGAATTACATTGTGATTGCTTAACCTGCAGTATTTTCTCAGACTCCCTCATCCACAGAGATCATGACTGCTTTCCAAAATACAAACCTTTGCCTCTGCGTGGTGAACTCCCAATGCTGTAAGTGGGTGTTGTCTGCCAAGGAGCAGCTGCAATGGACATGTTTATTTGGGTTTTTTTGGTCAAAATGACATTTAAAAAAAAGGCATGAGCCCAAGAAATTTTACAAAGCTTCAGTGTGCAAAACCATAGTAGGGTTTTCTCTTACCTTGTTACAAAATAAAAACTGCTAGTTCTGTCGTTGTCCTTCAGCATAAATAACTTTCTCAAAGAGGAAAGACTTTATCATAGGAAGGGAATTAAACTGGTATTAAAAAATCCACCAATAAAACCAGCCAGATGACAGTAAAACATACCAGTGACCACATTTGCAACAAATCTCCTTCTCTTGACAGTTAAAGTGAATATTGCAATATCAGACAGAAGAAACAGCTGAGCAGCGCGATTCTCCTGCACATAACATTAGTGTATTCTCAACATCTGTGCTAGGCTTTTTCGGAATGTGCGAACAGAATTTTGGAAGCAACCGATCTCTGAGCAGTTGTACCAAAGAATAATCCAGTTACCAATGTTTTTTCCTTTTATGCTTACTAATAAAACGTAGTGATTCCTTACTATGTTGGATGCATTAATTGTGCCGTAGTAGCTCTGAGGATATACTGGTGTTAAGGTGTCTTCAGGAATGTGGTCTTTTTCAGTTGAAGTACATGAAAGGAAGCAGTTCTTGACATCCAAAATAATTGCCTCAGTTACATTGGGTGATGTAAAGAAGCCTCAATAATAGGGCAGATTTCCCCAGCTGGTTGTCTCGGTTCTTGGAGGTTACGTTTAGCTAATCAAAAAGGCTTTTCTGTGTGATGTGTATGTTTTGAGAATAATTTGAAGGATTCTTACCTAGATGTTCACTCTGGTTTTATTTAAACGTTTTGGGCACAGTGGAATAGGAGTGTAATCTGTAAGTTCAGTTTAACTTTGTTTCCCTATGTAGAACGTTCTGCTTAGTGAATTCTCTTATTTAAGTTTCTGAGAGGATACTACTTACCACAAAGGAGTTGGGGTTTTTTTTTGAGTCTTAAAGGCTAGACATGTTTTCCAGCTCTGCATCTCAGCCTGTACATAGAGTGCTGTTCATCACGGTGACAACTGAACTTCCAGAGGAAGGCTGACATTTGAGGTTATTAAGTCAGAAAATGGTTGGGTGAAGTTTAATGGTGGATAAATAAATACCTAACAAATGGAAGTTTCAAAACTTGATTTAAAAAATATATTTTAAGTGGTTGCCAGCAAGCGTGCAGAAGCATGTGAGGCATTTCTAAAATAGAAACTGCGACGGCTCATGGAATAATGCATGATCAGTCATGTCATTCAAAATTACCTGTCAACTGCAGGCAGGCAGGTTTTTCTTTTTCGTTCTTTTTTTTTTCCCCCCCCTTCCCTGTACAGTTGTAAGGCAGAGGATGAGTGCTTATTTTTTGTCATTTGCATCTGCAGAAGCTCACATGTAGGTAACCTGAAGTACTACTTTAATATACTAGGTTAGAACAAATTAGACCTTGGGATATATCACAGTGAATTATCATCCTGAAATGGCAGATAGGACATTGGAGTTGGTGGAACAGTCACGTCAAGTTACAGACTGAGTCACTGGCAAAGCTGGAAGGAGTCAAGATTTTTAAGCATTATCTGGGAGTTTAATCACTAGTTTCCACTGCTTAGAAATGGTTGCTGGCAGTCTAATCTGGTACCAGGTACATACATTCCAACTCCTTTTACTTGCTCTGAGACAACATTTCTTTGGCATGTTCTAGCTTTTCATGGAGAATTGTAATAAAATAGTGGTCTTTTTTACTGTGAAGAAGAGGAACTTGCTGCATGCTCTTCCTGTCTCCCCCACTATGAACTGGTTAATGATAATTTTGTCATTTTCCCAAGGTTTTTGTTAACTACCACTGATTTTAGTATCTCAACAGGTACTTAAAATGATGATGCACTTTTGTCTTTCTGCAGAAACTATTTGTCTTAGACCTTCACTCTCCAAAGACACTTAGTGTGACTACCAGTTGTATATAATTATTGTATCTTCTAAGAGAAGGGGAAAACAGTATTGAGGGTGACTATATCTCTGTTTTCATGAAACTTGCTCTTTATTTTGGAAAGCGAACTTACTGTGATACTAAATTGTTATTTCCTTTTGGCAATAGGTCGTAGCAAATGACAGAAGCCCACTGGTGGGTAAAGTCCACTGGGAGAAAATGGTGAAGAAAGTGTCAAGGTTTGGCATACGTACTGGCACTTTTAACTGTTCCAGTGACCCCAGGTATATTCTTAAAGGATTATCTAAATCCCAAGAATATCTTAAGGCTCAGCTGCGTTCCGGCAGCAGAGCTTGCTGTGTTGTAAAAGTAGCTGTGACAGAAGGTGGTTTTATTCATGTTTTTATCTCTACTAAAGTCTGTTCAGAATTCTCTATTATATTACTTATCAGCATCATAAACACAGATCTGCAGCTTCCTAAAGCATCATGTGGGAAATACCTGATTAGACTCTGTGGAGTGTAATACAGCAATGGAAGGGAATGAATAGCAGAATCTGGCCTTATAGTCCAGGCATGTGGGGACAAGAACTGCACTTGGTTAGGACAAAGCTGAATATATATAGCCCATGTAAGAGAACTGTATCAGTTGTAGAGTTGTTGCATTGCCATCTGGAAAGGAGAAATGCAGGTTAGCATGAACCTTGCAAACAGTGCCTGCTTCTGACAAATTATTGACAAATCCTGTTCCCTGAGAAATGTGTGCATGTTTACATATAAACTTGTACACACCCTTTGACAACATACAGCGTGCTATGCAAGATTCACTCTTGTTTGCATATGATTTTGAACAAGGAAGAAAAGCAGAGCCAAAGAAGCTATTAATAATTCCAAGCTGTTGTAAAAAGAATTTTTTTTTAACATCTTGTTGGAAGGATTTGCTTCACATGATGGGAAAACTTTGTCTAGAATTCCAGTGGTATGTATGGGTATGCACATGTCTTACATAGCTTAAGTCCTAAATGTTTACAGAAATCTCAAAGTTAATCATAAGAGAAACTTCTTAGACTGCACTGCTTATGCTAAATAGTCTTGTATAATCAAAACACTGGTATGAGAACATCTTAAAAAATTGGCAATGTTTCTCTTTGCATAGCTCCTAACTAGTCTTAATGTTATGATCAAATACGATGTTTTAATTCATTTTTTCCTAATACAAGAAATGTTTTGTTGAGTAAACCCTCGTGAATAATTTCCATCAGGTTGCAGCTGAAATTCAGCAGAACGCTGCATGCTTCAGTAATCAGGATACCTTTATTAGTAGGGTGGTATCTCACGGCTCCTTCTAAAAATGTTACATTCGGATTCCTGAGTTGGGAAGTTGTAATTGTCTAAATATAAGTTGATAGACCAAAACCAGAGAGGATGTAGGTTCCACTGTAGCAGCTTCTTGGCTGGAACGCCAAGGAAAAATAGCTTCTAAAACTAAAGGTTTATAGTGAAAAGTCAGCTTGTGTATTTTTCAAGTCCAGTGACAAAGCATGTATGACTATATGGCCTTGTTTACTATAAAGACCCATGAAAATTAACACTATTCCTCTTCCTGTTTTATGAGTACGTATCTCTGCCACATTTCTGTAAGACAGATAACAAACGTATTATAAGAATAAACACACTTTGCGAGAGAATACTGGGTGCCCGTATTTCCTACTATTATATATAAAGATTCCCAGATGCTCAGCGTGTCTCTTTTTTGGGCTCATAACAGAAATTTAAGGACTGCAGCTCCAGGAGTATGAATCTCTGTAATCTAACTTGTCATTTTCTTTGTAGATACTGCAGGAGGAGGGGTTGGCTGAAATCCACCCTCATTATGTCAGTTCCACAAACCAGTACCTCCAAGGGAAAAGTAATGCTCAAGGAATACAGCGGGCGCAAAATTGAAGTGGAGCACATTTTCAAATGGATCACAGCCCACGCTGCTTCTCGGATCAAAACCATCTACAACTCCGAACACTTAAAAGAAGAATGGAACAAAAGTGACCAGTACCGTGTGAAAATATACCTGTTTGCCAACCTTGACCAGCCTCCAGCATTCTTCTCCGCACTAAGCGTAAAGTTTACTGGAAGAGTAGAGTTTATTTTTGTGAACGTGGAAAACTGGGACAATAAAAGTTACATGACAGAAATTGGTATCTACAAGACACCATCGTACATACTTAGGACTCCTGAGGGGATTTACAGGTATGGAAATAACACTGGTGAATTTATATCACTACGTGCCATGGATTCCTTTTTGCGCTCATTGCAACCAGAAGTTAATGATTTATTTGTTTTAAGCTTAGTTTTGGTTAATCTGATGGCTTGGATGGACCTGTTTATTACACAAGGCGCTACTATAAAGCGTTTTGTGGTTCTTATAAGCACTTTAGGGACGTATAATTCACTATTAATTATTTCCTGGCTACCCGTGTTAGGTTTTTTGCAACTACCCTACTTAGACAGCTTTTATGAGTACAGTTTAAAACTCTTCAGGTACTCTAACACAACTACTTTGGCTTCTTGGGTAAGAGCCGACTGGATGTTCTACTCCTCGCATCCAGCTCTCTTCCTCAGCACATACCTTGGTCATGGTTTACTAATTGATTACTTTGAGAAGAAAAGAAGACGCAATAACAACACCGATGAAGTAAATGCTAATAATCTGGAGTGGCTGTCAAGCCTGTGGGACTGGTATACCAGCTACTTGTTTCATCCTATTGCTTCTTTTCAACACTTTCCTTTTGACTCGGATTGGGATGAAGACCCAGATTTGTTCTTAGAGCGGTTGGCCTTCCCCGATCTCTGGCTTCACCCTCTGATACCAACTGATTACATTAAAAACTTACCAATGTGGAGGTTTAAATGCCTTGGCATCCATTCTGACGAGGAAATGCTGGAAACCTTTCAAGACAGCGAAAGTGACTCTGACAGCGAGAACAAAGAGGTCTTCAGTAGCGAAAAAGAAGTCTCGGAGGACGATGAGCTAAACGCATTTCATAGGCGCAGTGAAGGAGAGCCTCGGTGCGGCACCGAGACCTGTTCGTGTGCCAACAAATATTGTCATCACGAGCCATATGAACGGAAAGCGAGATCCTACGGCTCATACAGCACCACAGGCGACATGGAACCAGATTGGTCAGCTTGGCCCTCCGAGATGTTGCACTGTACGGAATGTGTTGTGTGTCTAGAAAATTTTTCAAATGGTTGTCTGCTCATGGGCTTGCCGTGCGGCCACGTGTTCCACCAGAATTGCATCGTGATGTGGCTGGCCGGCGGGCGACACTGCTGTCCCGTCTGCAGGTGGGCTTCGTACAAAAAAAAGCAGCCATACACGCATCCGCAGCCTTTGTCGACTGATACCCCATCTTAGCTGTGTGCTGATGTCCTTTGTAAGCTTTCAGGATATTACTGCTTGCCTTTTAAATGTTAGTCACTTAAAAGATTACGTGGTTTGAAGTTTTAGTTTAAATGTTAGTGCAGTGAACTAAAATATACATGATGCTAACGTTAACGACAGAATCATTTGGTTGCCTTGTATGTTGAACTGAATGCATACTTATCGTACAATAACTTTTCCTTTTCAACATCTGGAAACTTGATGCTGTTT